GTCCTTATCTGGCTGCTACTTCTGACCGGCTCCTCCTGCAACTCAGCAACTAAAAACAATAAATATAGATTGGCCGTGAAATACACACACTATAGATTAACTCAATGACAATATATGATGAAAAACAAAATAAAGAAGCACATATTCATACAAACAAGTTGATTGATAATCCCTAATTATATCTTCATTCAAAATATGTAAAGTTGACTTCCTTGCAGTAACTCTTCTTAACTCCGCCACAAGATGGCAGTATGGCTACATGTTAGAGAGGGGTTGACAGTTGAAACTAAAATTGAATTCTGCAACTTATCAATCTTTTGTTTTAAAAGGGTTAAAGCAAAGTATCATTCAGGTAAAAACATGATTATGTACGTATACAAGTCAGGACATGGCAAACATCCAACAAAGAGGAACAAAAAGAATAATCTCACTTCCAACATACATTTCAATTTTATCACACAGAAGCATTTGGTCAATGAGGGGTAGCGTAACGACCTGCTGCCGTAGACAACTGTATGACAACACCCCAGTGTTTTTAATATTTCCTCTAGGGATGATACCACACAGAGTAAAATGGGAAAATGATTGTGTGAAACAGCAGAGGCACTTTGTCAACCCACTGAGTACTGTCATTAGCATCAAGCTAGCAAACAATGTTATTTCTTCATGACAGAGATGGACAAAAAATAATAACATTAACAAATAGTGGCAGGGCTTTTACTTAGCAAAACTGCAGAGGCTACCAGCTTCATCTGAAACAGACTACATTATGGACAGTTCCTTATTCATTAATCCCTCTGTATCTTTATATATTTACTTTTTATCCGCTCCCGTTGTCTTTAAAAAGTTAACATATTGCGCTGTCATTTCAAACTCAACACTTCCTGAATTTCTTTCAGATTAAAAGTCTCTTATAACCTCGGCTGAGAGAATCTCTCCATTTTCTAAATAGGCTTTTATTGTGAAATATTTGTAGGAACCTGGTTGTGGAGGATACAGTAGCTTTTATGTTTACTTATACCATGGTCTGGGTGAATACTCAATTCTGATTGGCTGCAGGGTGTCCGTTAAAAGGTGTTATAGGACAGCTAAAAAGACGTTCCGGTCAAATTGCCCGATGACAGGCCTGCTAGTTTGTAACCATAGCAACGGAGACTCAGAGCAGAGGCAACAGATTACAACAGGCATCATGAGTGATTTTATCGTTTCAGTTAATTTATTTGGTGAATTTGATCATTTTGACTACTGGGATGCGGAAGAAGAGAGGATAGAGAATGAAAAGAAAAGGGAGAAACGGCACAAGGAGTCGCGGGTCTACACCAATCACAGCCTCCAGAGCACAGCTGTAGGTCGGCTCTCTGACGCTGGCCTGGAAACTCGTCAGATCATGACCGGACATCGATGTGAGAGCAGCCTGCGGGTTTATTGGACTCCGTCAGCGCAGGAGAGACGAGACTGGAGCAACATCTTGTCGTCTCCAAATGTCCCAACAAGCAGTGCTCAATCTGTCAGTCTCCGTTCTTCAAATGCCACTATGATGGACATACCCATATCACTTTCAAATGATCACTATTAATGGTAATGTAGCATTTAATTTTAAATAGGAATCGTTAATTTGTTAATGTGTTTATATGATTTAATCTCGACTACTACTATATGCTTATGAATTATTTGTTGCAATTAAAAATGATTTTGACTAGCCTACTATTTGGATGTTGATTACTTGAAACAAATTTTCTTGGGCCTATAAATGAACTCCACTGAATCATGAAAGTAATATCTCAATGGTTTTTTTGCACATCATCCTCTGACCACCAGAGTCTGTAACACACAAGCGGTAACTGGCTTTCTGAAATAATCATCTTCTGAATAATATCACGTAGCCTAACATTTAGCCATCATCTCACTTCCCTTCACTGATCAGAGTCGCTATGCTCTCTACGCTGCGGCCACAGCGGGTTTCCATGGCAACGCCTGTGAACTACAGAGATTAAATAGTCTGCTCAGCTGTGGCTTGTGAAAAACCATTGTTCAAAAAGGAGAAACGAGCAAAAATTCAGCCAAGAATACAAAAGAGGAATATTTCATAATCAGGTGGAGATATGGACACAGATGTTGGAGGACTTAGGTGCAGAGATCCAAACTGAAACATTTAAAGTGCATTATTTTGTTGTAAAATAAATGAAATAAGTTCATGCTGCTTGATTACTCATGGAGATGTGGACTCCAGTGGTGTGAAATTAATTCAGATCCTCTACTAAAAAAAAACAAAAAAAAACATTACTACCAGTACAACAGGGAGAAGGAAATTAATTTGACTTAAAAGTAATAAAAAGATTATTAGATTTAATAGTGAACCGTGTGTTGTGAGTAGAGGAGCGAGCTCTTGAGTGGGGAGTGAAGTGGCTCTTAAAAGAGCCGTTGTGCTTTGTGGAGCAGCAGCAGACAGTTTAAGCTCTCTCTCCGCGGATGCGACGGGCCAGCTGGATATCTTTGGGCATGATGGTGACTCTCTTGGCGTGGATGGCGCACAGGTTGGTGTCCTCAAACAGGCCCACCAGGTAAGCCTCACTGGCCTCCTGCAGAGCCATGACAGCGGAGCTCTGGAAGCGCAGGTCGGTCTTGAAGTCCTGAGTGATTTCTCGGACCAGGCGCTGGAAGGACAACTTGCAGATCAGCAGCTCCGTGGATTTCTGGTAGCGACGGCTCTCTCTCAGAGCCACGGTACCGGGCCTGTAACAGTGAGGCTTCTTCACGCTGCCGGTGGCTGGGGCGCTCTTATCGGCAGCTTTGGTGGCCAGCTGCTTCCTCAGGGCTTTGCCTCCGGTGGATTTACGAGCGGTCTGCTTGGTTCTTGCCATGACTTCTTCTTTCTCTGTGAAGGAGAATAATGCAGTGAAACGAGGTGATGCACTGCTCTTAAACTCTGAGAGCGGCTGTGAGATGGTGACGCTGCTTCAGACCTCCGGCTCCTGATTGGTGAGGGGCTCCTACGGAGCTCAGCACCGCCTGAAGGAGCGACCCACCGCCCGAGACTCCGCTGCTTATTGGCTGGAAATCCTTTCAAAAGGTCCGCCAAAATTCAGGCTGGGCCACCCTCTGCTGCTCTGCTGACACCTCTTTTCTGGTTGGTCTGGCAGGAACCATCCCGCGCTCCGTGGACATATAGAGGAGGGTTCCAGCTGCTGAGGGAACACTTCTCTTTGTCCTGACTTTAGAGAGCATCTGAAAAATGAGTGGCCGCGGAAAAACTGGTGGATAGCGGTCTCTTCCTCTCTGTGTGCCTCACACCTGACTGGGCAGTGAGTCAGCATGACTCCTCTTGGCAAGACGGCTCCATTTGACTCCAAACATGGACAATACTGGGCTCGGTTGAGATTTGTCGGCAATGGTGAGCCTCCAACACGTGATTATGTCAGTGACAAACTACTGTTTGAATCCTGCTGGAAAAATGTCACGGATGTATACTCGTTCATATCTCTGCCAAACAAAAGAGATTTCGAGTTAATATTTTTCCATGAGGCTCCTTTAAAACATTTCCTGGAGGTATACACCTCCAAACAAGGAGAACCTAAGTGGAAAGAGTGGACGGTGGAGTCCTCCGCTCAGCTGGATGTCATAAATGTGGTTGTCAAGTTCTGGACTGGCAGGGTGCCAGATAACGATATTGACTTATTCCTGAAGCGGTATTGTGACATCATACAGGTCATTAAGCCACTGGACAGGTATGGCATCTGGTATGGTGTCTGAAAATACAAAATTTAACCGCACAAATCTTCTAACGGTCAGTACAAACAACTTCCCAACAGTATTTCTCTTGGCCCATACAACGGCCGCATTATTATTAGGGACAAACCATCACCTGCTTCATCTGTGGCTCGGTTGACCACCAGGTGAAGCAGTGTTTAACAGTTAAGTGCTGGAGATGTGGCAATCTCGACCACAAAGCAAAATCATGCACCCTGGAAGGCGTTTGTAACCTGTGTGGACAAAACGGCAATACCTTTTTCTCCTGTCCATGATCATATTCCAACCAAGTCAGATCTCAGAAGCAGCAGCCTGGTTCCTCTGAGCAGCCCCCTGACGAACAGCAGCGGCAGCAGCAGCTTCGTCAGCAGCACCAGCAGCCTGGATCAACCATCCTGCCCTCTGATGACCAGCGGCAGCACCAGCGCCCCGGAACCACGGTCCAGCCCTCTGATGATCTGCAGCAGCAGCTCCATCCTTCTCCTGCAGAGCCCTGGTGGTCAGCGCCCATCTGATTGACAGCTGCGTCGACAGGAGCAACAGGGCCCCAAGGCAGCGGACCATCGGCGCACTCACAGCCAGCCACCATCTCAGCAGCTGAAGTCTGGCTCAGAGTCTGCAACTCTGTGACGGTCCCACAGCCAGCCACCATCTCCAAAGCTGCAGCCCAGCTCCAAGCCTGCACCTCAATCTTCCACCCAGCGACCACAACAGCAGCGTGATCCAGCAGACCAGCAGCCAACGAGCGGGTCTCAAGCCCACAGCTCAACAGCCTTGTCCTGGCCCCAGTTCAGTTGATCCCTGGCAACAGCTCCTCCCCAAATTTTCTCCTCCATTCTCAGGTGAGACCAGTCCTGAACTTTTAATAAATACTGACGTTGAATGTAGTGATAATGATGATGATGATGATGAGCACAGCTATGAGAGTGCCAGTGAGTCTCCGATCTCTGATCTCTCTGACCCACTAACAGCTAGTCAGAGAGTCAGTAGTACTCCCCTTCTTTCTCCTCTCGCTGAGATCAGTAAGCTGGACTCTTTTTCCACCACACCTGAGTTTCCTGCTCCCTTGAGCAAGTCTGAAGAACCCTTTTAACTTGTTAAAAAAAAAAAAAGAATATCACGTTTTGTGGGGGAAAAAAAAAAAAAAAATAGTAAACAGCATGACAACAAACCCACACCTTAGACCTTTATGTTATGTGCTTTCTGGATGTCGCTACCTTGAATGTACGTGGCATAAAATCCAATGTTTGCAGACGGCAAAAGATTGATTATCTGTTGAATACCAACTTTGACATATTATGTTCCCAGGAATTGCGTTTGACAATAGATTAAGATGTTAAGAATGTGTGTGATATGTGGTCTAAAGGTAAAAGTGTTATTTCAATTGGTGAAAGTAGTGCAGATGGGGTAGGAATTTTCTTTAATTCTCAAGAGGTTAATATCATTAGGAGAAGGGACATAATTCCAGGTAGGCTTCTCATGATAGATTGTTTTTATCCACCTTATTTTTCACGGAAACACGGAGGCAAAACAGAACGCAGCCAGCTTCCGTTTTTTTGTGTGACACTTCCGGTCCAGCACTCTTGACCACTGTGTAAATGGGAATCCCCTTGTGGTTTACCTTGTTGAGTTTAGCTATACAAAAGTTTGGACACACCTTCTCATTCAATGCGTTTTCTTTATTTTCATGACTATTTACATTGTAGATTCTCACTGAAGGCATCAAAACTATGAATGAACACATGTGGAGTTATGTACTTAACAAAAAAAGGTGAAATAACTGAAAACATGTTTTATATTCTAGTTTCTTCAAAATAGCCACCCTTTGCTCTGATTACTGCTTTACACACTCTTGGCATTCTCTCCATGAGCTTCAAGAGGTAGTCACCTGAAATGGTTTCCACTTCACAGGTGTGCCTTATCAGGGTTAATTAGTGGAATTTCTTGCTTTATCAATGGGGTTGGGACCATCAGTTGTGTTGTGCAGAAGTCAGGTTAATACACAGCCGACAGCCCTATTGGACAACTGTTAAAATTCATATTATGGCAAGAACCAATCAGCTAACTAAAGAAAAANAGTGTTAGCTGACCCTGTCAGCTGCAGCCACTGATGCTTTCTAGACATCGTGATTTCCCAAAACTGAATAAATACCACACACAGCAACACAAAACCGCTTTGCTAGCTCAGTCATGTTGTAACGGCTGGATGGTTGATGCGTACATGCTGATTCGGTGCTATCAGAGCTGATCCGTGCATCACTATGGCTTAATAATCAACTCAGTCAATAAAAACAACCCGTCCTGTGTTAGGAGTGTATGTCGCTGACAGGAAGAAAGAAAGAAAGAAAGAAAGAAAGAAAAGGGGAAAAAAGATAGAAAAGCAGCATACACCTCACATATTTATTTCTCACAGTTGCGCACATTTTTGGCTGGCATGCAGAAGCACCGTCTGTGTGTCTGTGTGTCGAGGGTGCGAGCCGCAGCTTCAGTTGCTCAGGTAGAGAGGCTGTGTAGCCCGGTGTGTTTTATCAATGATTCGGTTCTGCAGGTTCTCTGCTGGTACACTGGAGACAGGGATCAAGCAGTTTGTCTCACTCGGGATAGATTGTGCTTTTTTGGTTCATAGTTTTTGATTGACGTGAGATTTATTCGCGTTTAGAGGGAATAAATTTCCTTTATAACAGAAACGTGGGTACAGTTATCTATATAAGTTAAAATACACAGACTAACTAACTGATTGACTTACAGAAACAAATGAAAATTGAAAAAAATTAGCTTGTACCGTTAGCTCTGGCAAGGGAAAGCATGAGGGAAAGCGGCTGACCGGAAGTCACGCACAAAAACACGGAAGTTGATCACTATTTACTTCCGTGTTTGAAAATAAGGTGGATAGAAATGATAAATATCGAATTATTAATGTATACACTTCACCCGAAAGTACTAAAAAAAACAGCTTTTTAAAAGACTTAGAGAACTTCTCTCAATAGGATTTAATACCATTTTATGTGGAGATTTTAATACAGTTACATCAGAAAATGACAGGCATAGTGCTGTACCTTTTACCTTGACATCTGAAGGTAAAGTATTAAAAGAAATATGTGAGGAGTTTAAATTAATTGATGTGTATAGAACTTTGAATCCTTCTGGTTTTGATTTAACTAGATGTGATGCAAAAACAAAAACACGTATAGACAGAGCTTATGTATCTTCTAATTTTAGAGCAAATAATTATTCAACTGTTCTGAACAATTTTTCTGATCAGCTCCTAGTCAGAGCATCAGTATCTTCCGAAACCTCTGTTAAAAGAGGCTTCTGGAAACTGAATACACAGTGTTTAAAACACTATGATATAGTAATAGAATTAAAATCTGAAATTAATAAAATATCCCAATTAAGCATTATAACCAAATCAAACATTAAACTGTGGGAAATATTAAAATCCAGGGTGAAAGATTTCTTCAAATTCAAAAGTAAAGAATTAAATAAAATTAAAAATATGAGATATGATTCACTAGTTAAACAATATATAAACTTAAAGCAATGAAACAAAGATCATCAGTTGAAGAAGAAATCATGTCCAATTTAAAATTAGAAATAGATAGCATGAATAATGAACTGTTGTTTAATATTTATAAACAAACAGAAATAAACAATAGAGGTAATGTATTATATGCACTGAAATCAGGACAAAAGCAAATTCACGATAAATTTATTAAATCTATAAAAAATCAGTCTGGTGATGTTTTTCTCGAAGAAAAACAGAAAAGGGAGGTGATCAGAAATTTATGTGAAGAATCTTATAAAAAGATTGACATTGATTCTGGTTGTGTTAGTTTAATAATCGATTCTGTTCCCAGAAATTCCGTACTTAACGATAGTGTTCTGTTAGGAGAAGTTAAAAAAGAAGAAGTGATTCAAGCTATCCAACAGCTGAATGTAGATAAAAGTCCTGGTCCCGATGGTCTTCCTACTGAGTTTTATCAGTTATATATAGCTGACATGTTAAATCTCCTCACACATATGTTTAATGAAGGTCTGCACTCTGGTACTTTTGGTGACTCTTTTTATGAAGGCGTGTTACACTTATTATATAAAAAAGGAGACAAGACAGATATAAATAATTACAGGCACCTGACTATAATGAATACAGATTATAAAATATTAGCTAAAATAATAATGAATAGATTAAATGATACTCTAGATGATATTATAGAAAAAGAACAAACATGCAATTAAAGGATGTTTGATGTGGGACAACTTGTGCACTTTGAGAGAGACTCTACAAAAACGAGACTTTTTCATAATCGGGCTGGATCAAAAGA